TGAAAATGTGTATATAGACTTACCTTTCTTTATCCAAAAGGATACACACAAAAAGCACCACTCACTATAATAATCCGAGAAACTTTTAACAAAAAACAAGCAGAGCAGACTCGTTGATTATATGACTAATTATAAAATTGATTATTAACAGTATTAGCCAAGAAAAGCCGCAAAGTGCAGTGACTGTAGTTGATATCGCCTGAACAGGCCACGGGCTGTTTCGCTGAGACAGCAAAGGGAGCTGTGCTAGAGTTTGTTGACTTGGTTTACACACCTAAGCGGAATAAAATCTATTTCAATACAATTTGCTATTTAAAAGAATTTACCATTAGGCTTTAATATGAACTTAAGAAATATATATGAACATTTAAGACGAAGAAGGATTGACCCTTTCTGTTCTATTTTAACATACATTCCTAAAGTGAAATCCAGTAAATATTTTTTAGCCGTAGTTTGTAATACTTAAATATACAGGCATATTTATTAGACCCGCGCTCCACTTGCAACGCCATCTACAGATACACGCTCGGCCGCGTTATAAACTACTATTGTGAAATGGAAATCGCGACTACTGCCTAGGTCTCCGCTCGACCACGATTTGGGGCCCCGCGGTGGCGGTCGAAGCCCTATACAATTTAGGTATACCTACGCGGGGTACACGCGGAGCACAATACTCTTGTCTACGTGGGGAATCCTACATACCTACATGAAGATACCTGCATGGGGCCTAGGGGCAAAGTCCTAGATGGGGCAAAGCCCTAGATGGGGCAAAGTTCTAGGTGACTACATTTTGAATTTCCTGCCATTTTTCCTCCGTCAAAAATGCTGCGCGCTGATTGGCTGGCGGGGAAGGGGAGGGGGAAGGGAAAAGGAGGAGGAGTGGGGGTAAAATTCGTCAAAAACTGCTAATATGAACCTTCATAAGAAAATACATGGGATTTTGGCGTGATACGAAGGTAGCCTATCTACTTGCACTGCACAAACTCGCCGGTGACTTTAAAGTTATTGACTTATCCATGAAATATAGCTAGCAGTGATATTTCAGAAACACCAGTATTTTTGTACTGGCACCATTCTTTGAAATTTCGATATGCTCGTCCGTAGTGCACTTTCGACTACCCGGGCAATAAAAATTTACAGGCAGCATATTTGCTGCACTTTCTATTTGAAAATTGCTCATTTAGAAATAATAATTCAAAACCAGCAAAATTGCAATTTTTATGTAGCTTTGTTTATAAACACCTTAGAATCGACAAAATCCAAACAACCAAGGCGACTTTGCAAGTGTTCGAATAATGAATTGATTAAGAAATGTCAAAAAATAAAACTTAAGTGACGAAACGTCGACAATTGAGAAAATTTGGTGTTTTTCTTGAAATTTGGCCTCTAATTTTCCCACTATTGACAACAAACTGAATAAAACTTAATCTTTATTTCATGAACCATAAAGAATTGTGGGAGCAGATGAAATGTTACACAACGCAGCAGTTAAGTACAATTTACCCAAATAACTATTTTGATTGTAAAATTTCGTCGGTGGCATCTTGCAACTTTTTGGGTGGAGAGAAGTTAAGGTATTTGTTTAAATCTGTATAATTCATGTTTTCCAATGAAATCATTTTATTACCGCTACATTATCTGTTTTGGTGAAGTAGTTTTCAGTTATTTTATTAAACAAAGTGGTTACTGTTTCTATTTTGCATAAAAGTGCAAAGAAATTATTTATCTAAGAAATTTAAAACTCCCACCGCTCTTATTGACTTACAGAACAGAGAGGAATCTACACATTATCTATATTAGGGTGGCCCAAAAAAAACGATTATTTTTTTTTCGTGTCTCTTGTGAAAATATGTTAGTTTATCATGTTTTAAGAGCCCCCTCAAAAAATCAGCTCAAAACAAATTTTTTTAGAGGTCGCTCAAATTTTTTAAAAATTTCCGAAATCGTCAAAAATTGATTTTTTTTTTATTTTCTTTCTCGTTATTTTATCATTTTCTAGGTTGAAAAAAAATCTCGATTCTGAAAATTTCAAATCGATATTTTAATTTCTAAAGGTCACTAATAATTATTTTAATTTTCAAAGTAGTGTACCTATGTTTTCGGCCAACCTTTAAAAAAATATCAACGAAGTAATAATTTTTTCTTATTGAATTTGATGAACAAAAGAATAGAAATAAATCACGACACTTAGATTTTAAAAAATTCAAAAATTATAAATATTTGATACTCACAATGCGGTAGTAAATTTTGCCTCGAGAAATTGTCTCGTGATTTATTTCTATTCTTTTGTTCATCAAATCCAATAAAAATAATTATTAGTTCGTTGATATTTATTTTTAGAGGTCGCTCGAAAACATTTTAGGTACACTACTTTGAAAGTTAAAATAATTGTGAGTGACCTTTAGAAATTAAAATATCGATTTGCAATTTTCAACCTAGAAAATGATAAAATAAAGAGAAAAAAATTTTAAAAAATCAATTTTTGACTATTTTGGAAATTTTTAAAAATCTTGAGCCACCTCTAAAAAAATTTTTTTCAGCTGATTTTTTGAGGGGGCTCTTAAAACATGAAAAACTAACATATTTTCATAAGAGACACGATTGGGCCACCCTAATCTATATATTATCTATACAGGGTAGCCCATCGAAAACGTACCGCAAGGCATTACAGGGTAGTAATGAACTTTTCGGCAAAATCCAAAAAACAGGTAAAGTTTGCTTCTGAGGGGGACAACTTTCGACGCAATAAGCATAGCAAAATATTCAACCCCCTAAGTGGGGGTGCCATCCCCCAAATTTTTTTAAATGGGAATGGGAGTCAAGTGGGGGGTTGATCCACTATTTTTGTCGGACAATGTCATATTTTGATAAAGAAAGTACTATTTTAGCACTTGGTATTTGTGTCCGACATTTTGTAATCGGAAAACCTAACCTGCGATGAGCAACATGTTTCGGTTGTCGGACTGGAAAAAAGTGCCTGAAAATTTGTCGGACAATGTATGGATTACATTTTTTAGGCAATTTTTAGTAAGTTAAAATGAAAATTGGGTGTTTTGTAATCGGAAAACCATACATTTTCTTTTAATTCAAATAAAAAATTTGAATGTTGGAATCACAAAAGAGAACCCGCCCAGAACGACAGGTTTAAGTACTCGCAGTGCCGAAAAGCGCCCTTCCCATATTATAAAAATTTTACAGCGTGGTAGACTCGTTAAAACGAAGCGATCCAGACCGTTTTCATGACTTTTGAAATCAGTTCGAAAAAAGGTCGCTGGCTTGGGGACTAATGCTCCTGCAATGTCTACGACGGTTACTACCTTCATTAGCAAATATGTGTTATCGGGTGCCTGAACAAGAAAGTCGTTGACTTGTTCTCTTGTAAAAACGTTTGACTTTTTAGGTGTATAGTCGTCATACATACGTTTCAAAAATGCTCTCAGCTTGGGGTATTCTGATATATCCACGTTCTCCTCTATGAAAATAGTTGACTTAATAATTGAGTATGCACTAGTAGATAGGCTACCTTCGTATCACGCCAAAATCCCATGTATTTTCTTATGAAGGTTCATATTAGCAGTTTTTGACGAATTTTACCCCCACTCCTCCTCCTTTTCCCTTCCCCCTCCCCTTCCCCGCCAGCCAATCAGCGCGCAGCATTTTTGACGGAGGAAAAATGGCAGGAAATTCAAAATGTAGTCACCTAGAACTTTGCCCCATCTAGGGCTTTGCCCCATCTAGGACTTTGCCCCTAGGCCCCATGCAGGTATCTTCATGTAGGTATGTAGGATTCCCCACGTAGACAAGAGTATTGTGCGTAGGCCTCCGCGTGTNATCGATGTATAGAGAATTAAAAGCCCTTTCTAATGACCCCCACTTGAACCCCATTCCCATTTGAAAAAATTTAGGGGATAGTACCCCCACTTAGGGGGTTGAAGATTTTGGTATGCTTTTCGAGACAAAAGTTGTCCCCCTCAGAAACAAATTTGACCTGTTTTTGGATTTTGCCGAAAAGTTCTTTCTGTTCTTTCTTTCTGTAATGCCTTGCGCTGCGTTTTCGATGGGCTACCCTGTATATTAATACGATTGACTTGTTCATAGCCAGTATTCTTTATCCCTTAAAACCTATTTATATCCTTCCTGCTTTCTATTATGCTGTGGATTTAATATTGCGTGGTGCATATTTCATAACTCCTAAATTATTTACGCCATGCAAACGAAATTTGGTACAGCTTTTTAACTAATAAACTATATAACATATTTTTGGACATGCATAATTTTTTAATTACATTGTTATAACTGGAAAATTTGTTTGCCTCTACGAGAAATATGTGAAACCTTCAAAAATAATCGAAACTGAGCCTTAAAAATCTAAAAAATTATTGAGGACAATTAAAAATGGACACTTTTTCCCCATTTCAGAGCCTTGGATCCGAGAGTCCATTCTCGGCGCCACATTGGAAGGTGCCAGATTACAGCAGCGACACAGGAATCAGCTCCTCGCTCGAAAAACGTCTTCCCACCAGTCATTCATCCCCAGCTTCCGGGTTTGGAGACTTTTCCACTTCCCCGCGTCTTCCGAAGGCCCAGAATCCCACAATAACTTTGTTACAAAAAGCTAGGGGTAAGTCTATTTCGGAAAACAAACGATATTAAGTTAAACGAAAAAAAAAATAAATTCATATTTTGTTCCTAGTTTTGGTAAATTTTTTTTTACTAGTTTAAGTTTTATGGCTCTGGTAAAGGTCATCACGAATTTCAACCGAGATACGTCAATTATTATATTTCTGGATTTTAAATTTATGTTGTATTCATACATATAGGGTGATTCATAAATGGTGACCAAAAATGAAATCTCGTCTTTGGTAAATTTTACGGGGAGTCTTTCCTATAAAGTTTTTATCTACGACGCTTCGTTAAAGAGATACAGGGTGTTAAACTTCAAAAAATATTTTATTTTTTTTTTAAATAATTTAAAAACTAGTACCTAAGTGAAATAATTTGAAATTGGGCACACGGACTTATGTAAACATTGTCCAAAATCTGAGAGCTTTTCCTAAAATTTACATGCTTCAGTGACGGAGATACAGGGTATCGGTGGCATATTTTTCTAGTAGTTAAAATGCAGTAATAATGAATATAAATATAAATGCGCTGGTAAATTATGCTATACTTGCTTTTTATTTATTTCAAAGAGAAAAACAGTCACATGGAGATTGACGTAAAATTGCTGTTACACCCTGTTCCTGGGGTTCCTCCTATTTCCGTAAGAATTGAAAAAAAAGTTAATGTTACGGGTCCGACTTTCGAGAAAAATTGAATGACGCAAACGGCAACTCGATATTTTATTTCATGTAAGGATACAGAGTATTTTATGAAAATATGTGACTTGAAGTTTGATTTTCGTGACGATTTTCAGCGTGCATGTTTATTTTAAACATCATCGTTAACTTTATTATACAGCATTACCTCAACTTTTACAAATATCCTCATAATGTTTTTACTCGAATTCAAATACTGACTTCTTCTAGAGGGTCAGCTTCCCAGAGGAGCAGCGTACATAGAAACAGAATCAAAGCAGTACAGACCCCGTAACGACAGGCCGCCAATTGCCTCACCTGGTGACATATGTAAGTTGTCAAAATAACGTTTACAGATAACGCACTTAAAAAAAGATAGGTGCAACCACTGACGGAAAGATTCCTCATCCAAAAACGGAACAAAACAGGTGCACATCTATCTAAACACAAACTAATATGGAATTAAGTGAACAAATCATGTTTCGTTTTAGTAAAAAGGTACAGAACACCCCCTAAAAATTTTTTACAACCAAAACTTTAACTCAAATTTCTAGTCATTTCGAAGATATTTTACAAACCAAAAAAATTAAAATCTCTAACACCAGTGACAATGCAAAAATGAACCAATATCAATGTAACTTACTCGTACTTGCCTTATTTTTGGATGAGGAATCTTTCCACGAGCGGTGTCACATATTTTCTATTCATCCTCTATAAAAAGCCGAATAAAAACAACATTTTTTTAGTGTATCAAATAAAGAACGAATACACAAGCGAATCCGAGAGTGAGAGACCGAGAAGAATGGCCGATCTGGGCCCTAGGAAGTACGAAGGTATTGGGCCTGTGACCAAAGACGGGATGCCGCTGATTCTTAGATCGGTGAGTATCGTTGTTATAAATAAATTATAAACAAAACAGAATGAATATAATTCACTAGTTAAATATAATTCCACAAATAAACAGCGTTTTTGATAGTTTCATTATGACCGGAAGATTAATGTAAACAATGTATTTTTTACAAAGACACAGTTAAAACAGAATACCGATATACACAGGATAAATAAGTCTATTCTCTTCTCAGTTGTAATATCAAACTAGATATTTGTGTAATAAAATAATTAACGGTCGAATCTGGATGCTTTCAGAATTTCCGGGAAACTCCGTCAAGATATTATGCGTACTTGAACATAAAAAATGATTTCGGTGTAAAAGCGAAGCCGCGGCTATCCGGATCCGGCTGGCTCTTTAAAGAATGCTATATCTACTTCTAGCGAACAAACATTCGACATAGTTGCGTACAAATATTTAAAAAAATAATTGACAAGTCCTGTTCTTTTCAATGAAACCGGACGACTGAACCCGGCAACTGTGAAAGCGTCAATACAAAACTATGCACTACTAAAAAATAAAACTTAATTTTTATTTCATGAACCATAAAGAACTGTGGAAGCAGATAAAATGTTATACACCACGCAGCAGTTGAGTATAATTCACCAGTCTCGGACTCTATTTCCAGCCCTCGGTCCGCTCGGGCGCAAAATCGTCCGCGACTGGTAAATAATACTTACCTCCTTTATGGTGTAAATAACTACTGAAATCCACAAATAATGCACAATAAATTTAGATCAAGATTTTAATTTTGGACAATTAATTGTGCTTTAAATTAAAATACTTCGCCTAATACACAACGATTTCCAAAGCACTGATTTGTTTACCGCAAATTCATCTCAAAAATCAAGTAAACAGTTGATTTTATAAACTAGAAGTTAATAACAATATGAGATAATATTGCCAAAAACGATTGCCGCATTAGAATCGCAAGGGGACGAGAAAGCTATAAGCATTTTTATAAAAATATTTCAACATTTATTTGTCACAGTGTCTAAAAAAATAATTATTTATTTATTTAACTTTTTCTTTCTAAATCACTTAGAAAGATTTAAAAATTTTCCAACACTGCATAATTAATTTTCCCTTCAGAAGAAATACCACAGTTTCCATTAGGAAATCCTTAGAATTTTTTCTAATTTTTTTGCAAATCAAGTTAAACAGTACCGCTGCTTATAAAATATATATTTAAACTTTCTCCTGTCTATAAATAAAAAATATATAAATGCCTATGATGGCACAAATTACTTAACACCAAGTTATTGACTACTTCCCTTCAAAATTAGTATTTATTTTCGTTCGTAACCGTAATATAAAAATTTTAAACACGAATGCGCCTCACATAGCTGTTTTGGATTTAAATTTGGAACCGCGTCAAATTTTTATCTGGAATATTTGGAACAGTTCATAAAACAAAAGTATTTCGGCAGAATAATTCAGTAGTATCTAAATAGCGGTGCATGTTTTGATATACATATTTATCCACGGATATTGAAAGTAAATTATTTGCAAATGGTTTAAATTTCCTATTTTTTTTCTTCAGGAAATCAAGGACCAAAACCAATCCAAATGGTACAAGAGGATGTACGACACCATTCACAAACAGAGACCTCACAATGGTAATTAAATTTTATTAGTGGATCTAAAAATATCAACTGAAAATAGTGATAGCATATTAATTTTTATAAAGAAAATTAGGTAGATCCAATACTAGTCAAACCAACATAAGTAAAACATTTTTTAATTACAAGTCCGTTATTTTAGATTGTCATATTTTTAAGACTTTTTTGTCCTTTAATTTTTGTGACTAGTGTATCATTAGAAGCGCAACATACCACAAACTGCTAGATAATTATTATTATATTGTTATCAAATAGTTTACTATTATTTACACATACAGATAACAAACTAGTTGCTATTATTAGATCCACAATCAACTTTTTTCTTACTGTATTATAAACAATTTATTAATATTAATTTATTCTTACAGACGAATATGTCACGATACGGTACAAACAGCGAAGAGGTACACAATCAAATTGAACAGTGCATCCTTTAGTTTTAACTAAACGCTTTAGCTTAATAGTTGAAAATCTTGCTCTGGCAAAAATTTTTAGGGGCTGGTCCGAAGGTGGTTATTTAATATTTAACGCTATTTCTCCCGCTTTGTCTCAGCCTTGTTGATACTTCAGGCATCACGATATATATTCGCACAACCAAATATGTATGAAATTATTCAGAAAATGTGGAAAAATTACACTTTTTGCTAGAAAAACGTGCTAGTAAAAATTGTGCAGGGTGTTTTTCCCTGTGTTTATACGATCTCATTCACGTCAAATATGACTTACTGATATAAAAAGACATGCTCGATCTGATCTGCATTGTTTCAAGATTGACGCTTTTCCAGATATATCAGGAAACTTAGTTTTCGTAACAGAACTCTTATATATTTTTCTATTATCTGGATAGAACTCTTTCATACAATTACAGTGATATAGTGTTTGATGGATCTATTTGTACAATTTAACTCATTTTTTAACGTATTTTGAAGATATGAAAAATTACTACACTGAACTTAAATGAAGTGAAAGAGCAATAGAACTAGATTTCAAGGGGTCTATAAGAGCTGAAAAAAAATAAAAAAGTGGATCTGTACTGGAGTAGTCCATTTCATCGCCTTATTTTTATTCTATTAAAAATTTATAGATCCCGAATTAAAAAACCTCAAGCTGCAATTCAAAATTAGTGAACAGCTCATTCAATGTTAATAATTGCTAAAATAATGATTTTTTTATTTTTCCTGGTATTCTGTTTTCGTTTTTTCTCATTATTGGTTTCAGGGAAATGTAATTAGTTTTGAACATCGATCATCACGTTGTTGTACTTAATTTTTCTTTTCGATGTATCAAAATAGGTACAATATTCGGAAGAATACAACGATAATTTCCCTTAATTTGGTTGTGTGTATTTTTAAGCAACGTTTGTCCAAGAAAGGAGTCATATATGACTGAATATTTATTTAACTAAAATTTTGTCAATGAGAAATCACCTCTTATTATTTAAAAAATTAAAGGGGTAATTTTAAATGGCAATGATACTGAAAATAAAACTGTTGCACCAAAGCATGCTTGTCCTTTCTTTTTTTATCCAAAATAATAATAATAAACCACATACTGTATATTACTCACATATTCAATCCTTTTTTGTTTGAGATATTTAGAACTTAAATACCAAGTTATTATTTTTATTTTTTGTAATCAGCAATATTAATATTTTAAAAATGTAGATATTTCTAACCACTCAAGTAATTCCACTATAACAAAGCGACTGCAACCTTCAAAATAAAGTCTTCATTGTAACTGGGTCTTAAAAAAGAGCGATAGCCTTTGACTTCTAGCATATTAGAAAAGTGTTTTTATCTTATCGATCATAAACATGTTATGCATAATGTATATTTATTTCCACGCTTTGCCTTAGTAGGCTATTGGTTGATTTAGCAGCTTCTGTAGTTCCGCCTCTGTTTACTCCCAAAAATGTATCACATATCACAATTAATGTCATTCTATGCATTTATGACTTGATTTGATTGTTGGAATAATGATCAATGTGTTAATATTCTTCAGGCAGTGTATTTGTGGTTTTAACAAGACCTGCTTGTCTTTATTGAGGAAAAGTGGTTTTAGGTAATTTATTATTTCTTAATCTACGTGTCACAGCACTATAATTCTTTTTTTCTTTGAGATTTCGTAATTTAAATTGCATATTCCATTTGCAGAATTTATTTGTAACTATTCCCTGGCAAATTTTGGATAACAACAGTAATAGTTTAGATTTTTCTTGTAAAAAATCCGTGGTATATAGGATTTTTTATTGTTATGACACAACAATAGTGTTGTTTTGAATCTTTGACAAGAATTGAATTTGACATATCACGTGACCACTAATTTGGCGGGAAAATTAACAATTGGTGGTGTATGATCTTAAGAAGAGGCGTTTTCCTTAGTGGAAATGGAAAACATTGAAAAAGGTATTCAAAATTTAATTTTAGTGTCACAGTTAAATTTCAATATACGAAATTATCCCAAAAATTAATTTTACAATTTTGTTTTACACTTATATTACCAACTTTTTGACAGATTTTATTATATATAAACCACAGATAAGCCAAATAGATTTTGTAATTGATTCAAATAGTCCAAAAATGTATTTTATTTTTCAAGAGACATAATAAAGGTGACAATAATTTTGTAAATTCTGAGAAAAGCTTATTTCATTTCTCAAAATGTGACAGGGCTATGAACAACCTTGTTTCGAGATGTCAAATATATTGAAAATTAAAAATTTAAGAGATATTGTTACTTTTTCGGAATATGTATTTAGAAATGTTGCAAATTATTTTCAAATTTGACAACAGTATGAAGAACTAAGTTGCCCTTGGACTCATGTAAATTACTGTCACCCTGTATATTCAAATAATTACAGATTTAATCTTCGAAATGTAAACATGTGAAATATCTATCAATTTTTTGCTTTCAAACCAAATAACCTTAAACACTATTTTAATTAATATTATTAGCTTGACTAAATCATAAAAATATTATTAGATAATATGTAAAACTCCTCCAATTTGGTAAATATATTAATAATAAACGATTTGAAGCCATGACATATCCTGAAAAAATCATATGTGATACATTTCTGGGGTGCCTTTCTTTTCTGCAAAATTAAATTTTTCAGCCCAATACCCCTACACCTCTGGTTACCTCTCTGAACCTGAACCAGGAGCGTACGACAGCGATTTTACGGATTACAAATACCTGACAATGGACAGGAGAAGACCAACAACGCAAGAAAAATATTCCGACACTTTTACTACCTCATCAACAATGCCCAGGAGTCTGAGCAACAAGTAAGTTCATTTGTTTGGCCAGACAGGATAATACAAAAATAAAATTCAACCACCGCAACGTAATTTCTGTTACATCAAGAGATAATTTTTTATTCTGAATGCAATTTTCTACACGATACCATCGCTCCATTTTTTTTATTGTAGAAATAATGTTGCAATTAACAAAAATGGCGAAAGTAGATGTTTTTCTTGAGACTCAATTCATGTATAACGAGCTCGCAAAACCCACTATTGGACAGATGAGTCGTTGCTGAGTTATTGACAAAACAAATGACTTATTTTAAACCTCAAACTATTTTGTCTCTTTCAGGACACATACGGCACTGTAATGTTATGAGTTTATTGATTAAATGAAAAATATTCATTTGAATAAAGAAAAAAGTATAATATTTAATGTTTAACCAATATTACATTGATTATTAATTCATCTTCTGATGAACTGAATAAAACAGTTTATTGAATTCATTTTTTGAGTTTTTTTTTTAATTTTCATAACAATTCGTATTATAGAATAGTTTTTCATATCTAGAGATTGTAGACTGTTTTCAGGATAATTTTACTGTGTTAACAAAATTAAATGGTGTTTCAGATCGTCGTCCTCTGATGTTTTACGAAATGTCCACGACCCTTACAAAGTTCAACCGGGGAGAATAGAAAACTACACTCCAGGTCATTCCTCTATCTCAGAAAAAGAAGCAAAAGAGGTACGTAACTTAAAAATTTATGTTTATCTTACACTTACGTATTTAAAAGTATGAATTAGTAAAATTTAAGGATGAACTTATACAACTATACAATGTAAGAAATATGTCCCTAGTAAAGTACGTTCATAGATTTAAGAGGAGGAGTACCTCCAGAGTGCCGCCATTTTATAAAATAAGCAGGGGTTCTAAGCAGGTCCCAGTGAACTATATTAAAAAATATATTTTATTTAATACCTAGGTATTGCGAGAATATTTTCTACTCTATTTACAGGAGATTGTACTGAATTTAGATATGTTGATAATTAAAAAGTTTATTTTGAAGATAATTACAATAATACGCAAATATAATAAGAATATTCACGTAGATATTTCATGTGGGGAAATGGAGATATAAATCAAAATATTTTGATTAGGCAATTGATTACATCCAAAAAAACAGGGTTAAATCGTTCAAAGAGTCATTTTAGTTGAAAAAGCCACGGAGTGCTATTAAATTAGAGGGCGGAAATTGGTGATAGGGGTGAAAATTCACCCCTTTCAGTTTTTTAATTGTAGCTCGAAAACGAAGGAAAATTTAACTATAGTTCATAGGAAAAATTATTTAGAGATTGAATTTCTCATCGAAATGGCTTATTTAAAAGAATTAAAAGGAAAATTTTATGTAAAAAATCGTTAATAAACAATTTGAAAAAAAGCAAAAATTTGATTTTTTTGTTTTTCTTTACTTTTTTGCCTATAGTTTTTTTTTGAGTAAAGATAGGTGTAGGCATTGCTTCATAGAAAAAAAATAGATAAAATTTCCTTCAAAATAAGAGGTTGTAAAGTATTTTTGAATGAAAATTGACTGATATGTGGCCGCTGAAACTTACAATTAGCCAATTTTTCGATTTCCGTCGCGTTTACCCTTATACGTTTTAATTCTCGTTTTTTGCGAAAATGGAAGGGAATAAGACGTTCAAAGATTTTCATCACATGACTTGTTCGAAGGGTAATTAAAAATGAAAAAACCGCGGGGTGCTATTAAATTAGAGGGTTGAAATTGAAGATAAGGGTGAAAATGTACTTTTGCAGTTTTTTAAATATAGCACGAAAACGAAGCAAAATTTCGGTAAGTTCATAGGAAAAATTTTGTAGAGAATTGAATTTCCCATCGAAATGGTTTATTTAAAAAATTTAAAAGAAAAATTGTATGCAAAAAATCATTAATAAACGATTTAAAAAAAGCAAAAAATAAGATTTTTTCATTTCTTTTACATTCTTGACTATAATTTTTTTTAATAGAAGCAAAGAAAATTGCTGTACAAAAAACTAGATGAGATTCCTTTCAAAATTATGCATTTTCAAAAGTTTTTAGTTATAACCGGTCAAACTTAAATATTTTTTTAATTTTCGTCGTTTTTAACATAATAATGATTATAATTCTTATTATTTGTACAACAAATTGGTCCTTTACTTAATAAAAAATTATTTCAGTTTTATTTGTTAATAATAAATAAAGATTTTCACAACTTAACCCTTTGTGGGCTAGTGGGGAGTCAAAAAAATAAAAAAAAAATGAAAATAAAATTTTTCTTTAAAATTTTTTAAATAAAATTTTTCTTTAAAATTTTTTAAATAAAATTAAAATACTGGAAGGGGTGCATTTTCACCCCTATCTCCAATTTCCACCCACTAATTTAATAACACTCCACGATTTTTTCATCTAAAATGACCATTTGTGGTAAATTTATGTTGTTCAACGAGTTCCATATTACGACTGACGGTAAAGATTATCAAATTGTACATGTATATCAATACATACTTTTAAGTTAATTTTCAAAAATGAAGACGATATATTACCTACTGTCAAACTATGGACATAAATTGCTAACTACTGTTTATATCTTTTTTTAAATTATGCAACACAGACAGAATATAATTTATTTTATGAGGTGCTTGTTTATTTTTTTACATATAGTTTATAAGAGAGCTTAATTTACGACTCAAAAAATACCCTCAAAAATAATCGTAAGGTTATGAAATTTGCAATATGTGTACTTGCAATAAAAACGCAGATTTATTTCCTTCAACGAACGCCAAGTTATTTTTGGGGATCCGCGTTGAAGGAAATATTTTTGTTGTGCTATTATAAGTTGAGTTTGATAATAATCAACTGCTGCATTACGTCGCTATGTGTTCGCTAAAACTTTTTTTTAATTCTCATCTACTCACTGTTGCACACTTAAGTGGTAACGTTCATCCGATGGTTGTGTCATTAAAACTTGATTTCCGTTTTTTTTTAGTGGTGGGACGAAGTAATGGACATATTCGATGGGGTACGATTTTTTATAAATAAATATCTCTTCTTTTCCAGTTAGATGTACATTTTTGTAGCTTCTCATACAATGTAGAAGGTTCCTTCATAGTTGTTACTAATTAGTCTAATATACAGTGACTGTATATTAGACAGTGGCGACAATAGAGTGTATCATTTTTAATTGGTCCACGTGATTTTAGCTGCCATGTTGCATCCAGTGTCAAATTCATCTGTGATGTGTCATGTGTCAGGAGCATTCTTATGGTGTTATTCAATATTTGTATTGTTTTATTTTAATTTTGGTGAATGTTAGTGATACAATGTTGGGTATTCTGTGCTAAGGGATAGAAAATTAAAGATTATTTTTGGAATTAGATACTGTTACTTGCTACCGGCATTTACTCTAATTAAATTCTCTTTATAATGTGCGCATATATTGCTCAAAATATTGTTAAAATATCAAAAACGTGCACAAACTGTGTACATACTATTGGTTCTAAAACGCCGATTTATAAAACATTTTCAAAATTTAGTGCATTTAAGAGATTTAGAAAACTTTTTTGCAATGAAGCGGTATTTTGTTTCTTCTTGCAGATGGAAAGTATTTTTACAAAACTTCTTGCGATTATATCTTCACAAAACTTAAGTTTAAAAGAATTTTTCTTAAATGAAATGTCTGGTTTAAATTTAGATGTACCAAATTGTCATCAGATCAAAAATAAAATTGTTAAAAGATTTATTATGTTCTGATTAAAAATAGCTTCCAAAAAATACTAAAAAGCATAAAAAAGCTTGCAAGTAAAAGTGCTGCTGGACATTTATTGTAACAAATACTATCACTAGTATTAAGTAATTGTTTTTGTAAATATACCTAATACATTTAACTGCGTAAGGTAGGTGTACTTAATTTTATTTGCCTAGAAAATAAAAACCAATAGTTGTTATTATTATATATTTATCCTCCTCTATTGCACAAGTAAATTCTACATTCATACATTATTTAAAATCACTTTTCAAGGTAGTTATTTGCTTAAAATCTGTGCGTAAAATTTATAAGAAAAATAATATTGTACTTAATTTATTTTTTGTAAAAGTTAATTTTAATTTGACATTGGATGCAACATGGCGGATGGGCGGGGTTTAGTCGCTATTGTCGCCACTGTCTTGTATAGAGCCACTGTAGTCTAATATATCTAAATAAGTCAGTAAACATGATTATAAAAAATAAAAAATCAACTGTGATGGAAATTTCTGCGAAAATTTTCACTTTCTTTTGTTCAAAGCAACTAAACCAGGTGCAGGGTTGTTTTTTACTAACACTATAATTTTTTTCACAAAAAGTGGCTAGATGATAACTCGGCCCTACCAAGTTACGACGTCATGTTCGCCCAGGCGTTGGCCCGATCTGTAAGGACTAAGGAGCATGTTTTGTTATTTTTTTCCTCTTCTACTTCTACTATGCCGAACACAACAGTAACAATATTTGCAACCTACTCAAATTATACCTTTAGATTTCATGCAGGATGACCCATGTATATTATTTATGGAGACACATAAAAATGTTCAAATAAAGGTTCGGAGACGTAGAAAAAATATATTTTAGATTTATGAACCAAACACGATTTTTCTAAATGTATTTAATACAAAAACACATACCTGATGCACTAAAATTGAAACATATTTTGAGAAGGTTGTTCCATTCTACCACCTTTTTAACACATTGTTAAGGAAACAATGAACGGAAGCATGTTCTCGAGCATGATCGACAAAAGAGGGATGGCTCTGGATTGTACCTTTTTCTGCATGTGACACACTCACTGTTTTACTAATATTTAAAATCACGATTTCTTCGAATTATAAAGTTTTGTCTTTTCCAGCATTTGGAGCAACAGAAACGTGTGCCTCCTGCTCAGCCAAGGAGTTTTATTAACCAGTAAGTAAAATATTACTTCACTTGATGAAAATACAGTGTTAATAGTTTCTTAGTTAACACGACGCGTTACTACGAAGACATGCTATCTCAAATTAAGCTTGGAAACATGTTAGCTCAGATCTTTAAGTAAAAACATGCTATCTCACACAAAAGTTTGACTAGAAATTTAAGTTGGTTGCATTGGCGTTGAAATGTACATTCAGTGATTGAAACCGTGCAAATTTATATAATATATTTTTCAAAAAGTAAGGAATATTTATGTTCAGGTACACTGTTTATTTTATTTTTTATGCAATATACTGCAACACTTACATTTCTCGACGTTTTTTGAAATAATAAATTATAAAAAAAATAGCGTATACCTTAATATACAGGGTAGCCCATCGAAAACGTACCGCAAGGCATTACAGGGTAGTAATGAACTTTTCGGCAAAATCCAAAAATAGGTAAAGTTTGCTTCTAAGGGGGACAACTTTTGGCGCAAAAAGCATAGCAAAATCTTCAACCCCCTAAGTGGGGGTGCCATCCCCCAAATTTTTTTAAATGGGAATGGGGGTCAAGTGGGGGGTCATTAGAAAGGGCTTTTAATTCTCTATACATCGATTCTTACTTTTTGAAAATCGATCCATTATTTTAGAAAATATGCAGCTTTGAAAATACGAACAATATTTTTGACGAGAAATGCGAAAATCGATTTAATTTTACTTCAAAACTTACGGTATTAGCTTGGTAAATTCCTTCAAAAGAATTCGCTGTTTTTTTTTCTGATTTGCGAATTCTTTAGCCTGATTTTGGTGAGCAAAAAATTGTCCGCTTTTTGTTTCGTATTTAGATAGGCCACAAGAAGTTGCTAGATAACTGTCTTGTGACTTGTAGTTGAAGAGTACCAATACTGCCGAGTCTTTTAAATTGATTAATTATGGTGTACTCAATTCCAGAAAGAGTAGAAATTATTGAGCTTTTTTTCAAAAACAATGAATGCGGAAATCGGGTCGCCGAACTGTTCAACCAACGGCATCCTGAGAAACATGCGTCTGGAAAAATTGTTCGCGAATTGGTGGCCAAATTTCGCGAAACTGGCTCCGTTCATAACAAAAAGAGGCAGGTTGAAAATCCGGTACTAAATGAACCTACGGAAATAGCGGTATTGGGGCAAGTGGCAATGGATAGTACGCTGAGTACAATGCAATTGGCTACTGCGACAGGAGTGAGTCGTACAAGTGTCCAACGAATATTAAAAAAATACAAATTCCATCCTTATAAGATTCGGCTAGTGCAAGAGCTAAATGAAGACGATTTTGATCGTCGTTTGCAATTTTGCGAAATAATGACTGAACGAGCGATAAACGATAATTTCCTCTTTAATGTGTGTTTTTCGGACGAGTGTACGTTCTTCTTGAATGGTTTAGTGAATCGCCATAATTGTCGTTACTGGGCTGATACCAATCCAAGGATTTTCCATGAGACACACTCCCAACACCCCCAGAAGTTGAATGTATGGGCAGGTATTTTTGGAAATTCCATTGTAGGTCCTTTTTTCCTTCCTGGAAATTTGACAGGCGATATGTACTTGGATTTACTACAAAATGTCATCGACCCAGCTCTAACAAATATCATAGAGGACGACCCTGCTTACAATGAACACGAACTGATTTTCCAGCAAGACGGAGCTCCTCCACATTACTCGCTCAATGTGCGCAATTACCTAAATGAGACGTTTCCAGGACGCTGGATAGGACGAAGAGGTGCAATTGAGTGGCCCCCTCGGTCACCCGACTTAAATCCTTTAGATTTCTTTCTCTGGGGGCACATTAAAAGCAAAGTTTACAGCACTCCACCTGATACCTTGGAAGATCTGCGAGGACGAATCATTAATGTATGTCGCGAAGTAACACCGCAAGTGCTCCAGAATGTTCGACAACGGTTTGAAGACAACCTGTATCATTGTATGCAAGTTGGCGGACAACATTTTCAGCATTTACTTGACTAATACCGTAAGTTTTGAAGTAAAATTAAATCGATTTTCGCATTTCTCGTCAAAAATATTGTTCGTATTTTCAAAGCTGCATATTTTCTAAAATAATGAATCGATTTTCAAAAAGTAAGAATCGATGTATAGAGAATTAAAAGCCCTTTCTAATGACCCCCCACTTAACCCCCATTCCCATTTGAAAAAATTTAGGGGATAGCACTCCCACTTAGGGGGTTGAAGATTTTGGTATGCTTTTTGAGCCAAAAGTTGTCCCCCTCAGAAACAAATTTGACCTGTTTTTAGATGTTGCCGAAAAGTTCTTTACTACCCTGTAATGCCTTGCGGTACGTTTTCGATGGGCTATCCTGTATAAAAATGTTTATTATTACTAAAAATTATTCCATTTTTTTCGTACAAGTTTGCTTTGATATAAAAATTAATAGCGCACTCTTATCTGATTTACAGTCACTACTCTTGATACGCGTATTTTTTTTATAAAATCTGGGATGCACAATTTATTCTGAAAGTAATTTTATATCCTAATGCGGACTCTAAGGAGACTGCATTAAAAAGGATTATATAGTGGACCAGGCTAGGCCCCAAACTCCGGGTCCGAATCGTTCTTACTGCACCTCAAGAAAAACAAATGGCTTCTTAAAGGTACGGTAGCCGCCTGCTTGCATAGACTTTGGAAATGAAATACAGGTATGCGATACTTTTATTACCGGTACTTTATGATCTGCTGGATATCGATGCGACGGGCGCAGAGCATATGATATGCACGTGCACGTTTCCGTGATTTCCCATGCACACATGTTTATCCTACATATCATTCAACTTTATCTGGAGCCTAGCCTGGTCTACTATAATCCTCTTTATTGCATGGTTAATATTAATGACAAATAGGATGAACACATTATAAAACGCTTATATAATAAGATATTTTTTCTTAATAGAAACATATTTGTTTAGCAAATTTAACAGCGGTAAACATACCGACGCACTGGTTCCATGGCAATCTTGACTATATGCAGAATCAGCAAATAAGTAAAAATTTGTACAAATTATCGAAACAAATATATGACAAAGTTTGTAATAAAAAAAAAGATATCAAAAAAAATCAAAGCAGTTACACCAATATTTTTTTAAAACCTTTGAAATAAAACTAAACACATCAGATACTCAGCAAAAAAAAATTGTTATTTATCCTCTCATATTTTATTATGCGTATTTTAATCGACCAATTTTATCGTAGGGCTTTAAAGGAATCAGGATACGAAAGCGACTCCACATTGGTGTTCCGCAGGCGAGAAGAAGCCGCGCAACAGCTGAGCCCTAGGGAGCAGAAGGAGGCGTACAAAGTCATACAGAAGGGTGGGGACGTACCCTTACATGGCCTCAGGAAACTCGCGCCGGAACGACCAAAAGGTGAGTCACTTCGAAGGCCTTTTTAAATTTTGTAACTACTTTTACTACCACAGAGCGGTTAATTTAGCTTGTGCTAAACCTCTACTAAAATCTTCAGGTGAAGGTAAACGTACGCATGTCTCCTTTTTCATTATTAATTAGACTAATTATTGCTAAGGGTGATGGGTTCACAACTAAAAATATTCGTCAGGTCACCGTCATTACTAACGCCGAATAACTGGAAAATGTGAAAACTTAAAAACATTTTTTTATGTATTGGACAACAGCGACGCTTCAGCGAACTTTCAAAACCAATTCAGTTCGCCAACACAAATAAAAAAAAGCACCAGTAATGTTTTCTAAGAGCTCGACAATTCTTCAAAACAATACTCTGTAACGTAACACCGAACAAGTTCCGACTGGCGTAACGTAACAAATGCGTTACGACACAGAAACTTTCAAAAACATTAAGATCTGACTTCAACACGAGTTCATCTCTGCAGTTGCAGTTAACAGCAGCCTCATATATTCATTACAAAATTGCAATAAAAAAGAAACGGAATTCTCCGCGTGAATGTCAGAACTTTATAAGAGTAGAATCGAAATTGTTGTGAGTCTTAAAATTAGCGAAACAATCCAAAAATTTTACTAAAATGTGTCCAACATATTTAGAATTGCTTTGGCTATTGGCGGTTCGTAGTTAGCTTCCAATATCTGACTCGGTAGCATATCAGATTGGTAACGCGTAACATGCAACAATCTCCCGTATCCACTAACTGTAACGTTACACGTTCTCAATTACGTTACGGATCATTTGATACATATGGACGCTACTCACGTATAGAGATTGGAAGTGAAACACAGTTTTTGACCAATAACTGAAAAAAAGTTGGAGATATAGACAAACTTAGAGTGGTGCTCTTACCTTATAGCGGCTGCATCCATATAAAATTTATTTACTGACATATCTCTTATCCTTTTTCTATCTGGGACCTCTGCTAAGGCGGTATAAATGGATACCCAAAAAATGGATAGGAAAAACAACAAATTGCATGTGAAAATAAAAAATTTCAAAACATATACAAAAATAAATAGAACCCTAGAAAATTTTGATAAAAGTTAAAAAAATGAAAGTAGAATTTATTTTGGACAGGAATAGTCAACTTTGGAAGTTTGCTGCAAAGTCGCTGTTGGCCCTCTATTAGTACTTTAAACTCTAGTCTTTAGAGGTGGTCGAAATCGATGACTCAGATTGAACTTATCTCATTTTTCAGTTAACTTAAAGGTATTTGAGCTATTTTTAATATATTTTCTTCGATTTTACAACACGTTCTGATAAGGCAAAGTTCATCACTCCTAAAACTTTTGCATATACAGAGCGTTCCGAATTGCGTAAGTCAAACTTTACCTGATGAAAGAACATCTCAAAATAAGAGAAAAAAATGATATAGACAGGCCCTAGAACAATTCGTTTTCGATATACAGAGTGTTGAAATTTTAAGGAACATCAAAGAGTGACCGCAAAATCCGCTGTTCTTGAGACTTTGACAGAGGCGACAGGAAAAATTCTAAAAACATTCTAAAAATATCCAAAAACTCGTCATGAAAAATGAAAATGAGCATCACTTTCAGTTTTTCGAAAATGTTCGAAAATCACCCTTATTTAGGGGTTCCAAATACAAAAAAAAGTAAACAAATTAAGAATCATTAATAGTTGTAAAACCCCAAATATTTCTATGTTGTTATCAAAATAATATTATGAACGTGAAAATATCTAATTTCGTATTTGATACGGTCTTGTCCGGATTGAAAATCAACCCATAATATCCCTAAAGGGGTGAAATCATGCCCTAAACGCCTAAAAATGCAAAAAATATATTAAAAGTTACAATTTTTTTTCTTTTTTTTATACGTGATAATTGAACCGTTAATAACCCAGAGTCACTAGATCCGAAGGAAAATACCCCTAAATGAGGGTAAAACCACCCCTAAGTTCAACCATCGGCTTCAAAGTACATAAAATAATTATAAATCATGAAAAAAATAATGTTTCGAAATACATTCATTACAATAATTTATACACAAGTACTCCCATACATTATCAATCATTTTCAAAAATAATCATCCCTCTCAAGGGGTAAAATCATCCCTCAAATATACAAAATTGTAAATAATGTGAAAAAAAAATAAAAAAGTTTATTATTTTTACATTATTTTTAATTTTTGTCTTTTCAACCCCTAAATAAGGATGATTTTCGAAAAACTGAAAGTGTTGCTCATTTTCATTTTTCATGACGAGTATTTGGATATTTTTAGAATATTTTTAGGATTTTCCCTGCCGCCTCTGTCAAAGTCACAAAAACAGGCGGAAAAATAGGTTTTTTGCGGTCACTCTTTGTCTAAATATTTCTTAAGATGGTGGCATAGATTGACGAAACTTGCAATAATGACCTAACAAGTTATGGCAAAAATTCGTTGAGTTGATCGACAAACATGTCAACCAGTCATGGAGATATTGGGAAGCAGCTAACAACTTAAGAATTTCTACGCTACTGAATATTTTATAAATTGAATAAGTGCAATTAATATCGGTACGTTTCTAAGAAAAATGATCTATTTTGTTCGAACAACAGACCATTTTTGAACAATTGTTTTTTTTAAATTTAAAATAAGCCTTCGTGGTTGAATACACCAAAATTAACTCCAAAACTATCTCGCAAAAAAATATAGAAACTTTTTGTAAGAATTATGATTTTATCTACACCGTATATGAGAAGGCAATCTATAAATTTTTGGAGGGTTCTTATTCCGCAAAAAACTCCTGCCTAAATGGATTTTCCATGATTTCATTGTAATGTGATTTATTTTTAAATTTCAAGACTCTTTATCTCGGAATAGAACCGTATAGTTGTAAGATCCTGGTTTATATGAACTTGTTTCTTATTTCTTGAGATGATCTGTCATGAGCAAAGTTTAGCTTATACCATTCAGAGATCAGAGCACTCTGTATATCGGTGTATTCCAATAAAAACCTGCTTAAACTGAGGTACTGTCACAGAACAAGAATCATGTTTACTAAAGTCGTCTTTTTTAAATTATTAGATATTTCTGTCAAAGTGACAAAAAGATTTCCTTTGAAGAATTTGCCAAAACGGAAACAGTACCTACCGAACATAAAATAAATGGAATATCTTCAACTACACTGTCAGATGAACGCTTTGTCTTATCAGTATCGAAAATAAAAAACGATTATATTATCTTCACGAACTGTACACCTTTACACGAAACTTCACGCCTTCCTTCCAGACCACCAGAGCACAATGCAAACACCATAATCCAAAACTAATTAAAAGATTTCCCACAGAGAAAGAACTGGTGGAATTCTTTCCGATTTCTCCGACGTTGACGCGTATCCGAATCCACAAAAACGTCAAACCCCAGAAGGAAGTAATTTGTTACCCTGTCACCGTACACCACAACCAAAACACCTTCTCTGCTTACAAGAGAACAGCACCTTCCTCTGCGGCTTTGTCCAAAGTGCCTACTCCTCCACCCATACCAATACCTTCACCCCCGAGGAGAAAATCTTCTAGGAACAACCCCACCCTGCGCCTAGTGTCCACCATGAAGCTGAGAAGCGAGAAATCTCCGATTTGTAAAAGACACGAAACTTGCTTCACAAGTACCTCAAACATTAATAAGACAAAGGTTAATTACCTGAGAGACAAAATCACTTGCAAATTATCTCCTAACACTGGAAAGAGAAGCGAAAGTCCTAAGATACGGGTGGTTAAAAAAATAACTACAACTCCAGAGCTTAAAAATAAAATTACGTCAACTCTGTCGACTTCTAAAGACCCAAAAACATCCGCTAGAAGGGTGCAAAGTAAAACTAATATTCACAGTTGTGTGGGACGTTCTAAATCCAGTGATTCCGTTAGGAGCTTACCTAAGACATCTACTATGACCAGACGGAATCCTATGAACGTTTCCGATGAAAGTTTGAACTTAAGAAAGTCGCCAGCAAGAACATTTGGAACGGAAAAGAGAAAGTTCGATTTAAACCTGTCTGAAAAACGTTCCAAAATAGATAAATCTCCAGACTTATTATCGCCCACGGAAGTAAAGAAGGCTGTATTATCCCAGACCAAATCCAGTCCTTCCGGCACAATTTACAGAAGAACTAATGCTGTATTGAGTTCCACAAAATCAAATAAACTGAAAGAGGTTTTGCCGATAAAAGTTGGCATTAGCGAAAAAGCCAGAGGCGTCTTAAAAAGCAGCCTTCATAGACCTGCATCCACTTCACCCAGACTGGCAAAGAGAGCATCACCTTGCCTCTCGCTGTCTTCTGACAGATCCAGAACTATAAAAACTTCTCTTGAGTCGCTCAGCTCTCCTAAAATGGCAAGAAGAACTAGGGAAATTACAAAATCTCCGAAACTAGACACCGCAGAAAATAAAAAGATTCAAAAGTCCAAGAAGGAACAAATTAATGACGAGATTGCCAAAAAAGGTAAAACTAAAAAAGACAAAACACTTGACCAATCTAAGAAATGCTTTGGAAGAGCAGAAGGCACCGAAATAGTAAAGCGTCTCCGCAATATTAACGACGAAGACGACCTAGGATCCACGATCACAGTATCCGATATCGAGAAACAGAAGCAAGTTATAGAGAGTAACCAATTCTTCCGTCACCTATTTCTAAGAGACTTATCCCCAACCCCCTCCTGCAGCAGCAGAAACAACTGGCTGATAGAAAAAACCAACCAGCTCACTCGAAGAAAATCCTCGTTCTCCGAACCGAGCATCGGTGCAATGAAGGTTTACTTGAAACACACCAAACCTGTTACAGATTCTAAATTCATTAGTTTGGACATGGAAAGGGTACGTTCTAGATCAGCAAGCCCGAAGTCAGTGACATTTGAGAATACAAGACCGCATAAAGATGGCAAGAGAAGCTCTAGCTTACCGCCAAAGTTGATATTTTCCCAGACAAGTAGACCTGTGTCTCCAGTTGTATATCACAGGAAAATGGTATCACCCCCTCCATCGCCTAAACTGAGCAGATCGCCTTCCTGTCGAAAGATAATGCATTTCAAACATTTGGACAGTTTATCTAAATCCAGCAGTTACACAAAAATACCCGAGTATAGTTTATACATGTGCCCCAGCCTCAATCAGAGTACAACTTCTATAGATTCGCTGAAAAGCGAAGACTATCAGAGGTACTTTCATGAACTGGTACACGCCACCAGAAAGTGTGACAAGTTCAAAGACTTGAACCAGTTTTACAGTGGAATAGAAAAGTTAAGCGAACTGGAGCGAGCGTTTTGTCTAAAACCGAGGAAGAAAGGTGAGAGTGAAATAATCGACTTCGACAGGTGGAAGGAGGTAAGGACTCGGGAACGTGCCGAGCAGGAACTAAAATCACTTTACAATCAAATCAAGGAAAACGAAAAAGAGAAGGGTTTCCTTTACTTGCCCAAGGACGTGAGCAAGTACAAGTGGAAAAGGGAATACGACAGAGGACTGAGGACCAAGGAAAAGTCAGTAGATAACATCAAGGAGGAGTTCGAAAGGATTAAGATGGAAGAGTCGGAACGCGAAAACGCCAGACGTAGAGAACTTGCGTATTCGAAAGATGTGTACAAACCTTTGTGGAGGGGCAGTTCCGTGGTGAACCTAGCCAACAGTATGGTCGAACGCAGGTCGCAATCCGAAGGCAGAATCAAAACAGCCAGGCAGAAGTTACTCGATTCCGAAAGACTATTGACTCGTGGCATAGGGAGCAGGATATGGTCCAGTCTTTCAATGGAACAGGTGAACATACTGAAGGAACAACTGGCTGAAATATACAATCACCATCCAACTAAGGATAAACCAGAGTATTACATCCAAGTTCCCAAAGATGATAAGCAGAAATACGTTTCCAGTCTTACTGTGAGAAGAAACTCCGATTCTTCGGAACGAGTTTTTAAAAGTCGGCAGGAAACAGCCAGTGACATGACCGAGGATGATAAGAAAATGCTCTCACAAACGCTAAGCAAGGAGCTTTTGGAAAAGATCGCTAAAAAACGAAAGGAGAACAAGACCGCTCTACCGTTAGTTGTCGGGAAGGAAATACTAGGAGCAGTTGCAGCTGCGGACGCTAACATTAAAAACATTAAACCTCAGCAGCCCATGAAACCGTTGATTAAGACGGATGCTGTGAATACCGGAAGTAACAAAATTTCATCCACAAGCGAGAACGACAGTGGTAGTACCGACGAAAGTTCCAAAACTGTTATATATGTAGGCGGCAACGAAGAGATCAAGAAGAAAGTGGAGTACTTTGAAAAAGTTAAAAACATAGATTCCTACTCGCCAACTGTGCACAAACCAGCCGAAAGTACGTACGACATGGGAGACGTCAGCTTTTACTCTCCAAAAAACGAAGAAGATAAAAAAGACGAAAAGGCAAAAATATTTCATTCCAAATCGTGTCAGAATGTAAAGGAATACTTCGGCGAACAGGAGTTGGTGAAATTTGCGACAATACCTCTATCTGCAACGAGAAAACACAAATTTTCCCCAAAGAAACCCGAACTAAGAGCTTTGGAAATTAGCCCCCTCCGATCAGAGAGTTCGGATAGTCTCAGAAGCAGATCCATTTCACCTTTCCTGAAGGAAAGTCAAGCTCTCGTGAAGGCAGGGGAAGTCAACAGGCTAAAAAATAAGTTCGAATACATGGAAGACTTCTACGGAAGCAGAATCCTGAAAAGGTCACGAAGCGAGTCGGATCTGCAAAGGGTATTCTCGTGTCCAAGTAGCGGGTATGTCGACACCATAAAAAGAAACTACGAGTACCCTGCGTTTTCCGGAAGAGGAAGGAGTAGGACAAGACGCGGAGGAGTGGTATCTCCGATTTTTTTACGGGCTGAAGACAGATTCATGCCGCATATAAACATCATCAGCAAAATCGCTAGTCTTTGCGCAAAGAAAAGACAGAAAAGCGAGATGGAAACGAGCAGAAGCATGGAAGAGCTAGCTGAAATACTGGGTTGTCCCGTGGGTGAGGTGGAGAAGCTAAAAGAAAAATTCGACCACAGCCAAGAAGACATTTCCTTGATTGACCGCATGTACACCTCTTCCCCGAGCATTCGAGAACTGAAAGATATCGCGCCTTACCTTACGGCCAACTGGATAGCGCACCGTTACCCAAAGTTCGAAGATAACACCAGGTCTCTGTCTTCACCGGAAAACGCTATAGCTTCCAAGGATACGTCTCTGGTGAAGAGAACCAGTAGACCCAAATCCTCCTCCCCTTCCCCAAAGTCTAAAAAATCCCTGTCGATACTGAAACCCATGCAACAGAAGCACCCGTCGACGGATCACGGGCTGGACCAGAAGTACAACCCGAAGTTCGAGCCAGTGAGTCGGTATCAACCAAGTGAACCATCAAGGTACAGATCTGGTTGGAGTGCTCACTTGAAACCGTCGGTTTCATTTAAAGGTGTCGTATTTAGGTTTAAATCACGACAGTAATAATTTCTTTAGCACGAAATGGGCACTTCTTATTTATTTGTAGGAATAGTTCAAATGCTTCCTCCATTTGTATGGCATGTGCTTCTTTGTTTTATGTTGCTTTTTTATTTGAAATGAAAAGAGAGTACCTATTTTTTATATCAAATCAGTCCTTGTCTGGCGATTTGGTTCAAGGATTAGTTTAACTTAAATTTCAATTTAAAAAAAAATCTACCATAACCATTCACTTTTTATTAATGCTCGAAATAATTTAAACAAATAATACAATCACACAAATAGATCCTCTCTGCATTGCATTAAATACATTGGAAAATAAAATACATAATAAAAACTACTAAGCTTGTCGCAAATGTTACAATGCAGCCTCCAAATAAAATATTTAAAGGGTCTACCACTTTTATACTAACTTAGCTGTTCTGAGTGTGGGTGAGATATAACCGGCAAACTACATTATATCTTAATTGTTGGTGCTGCTCAGTGCACAAAGCATTACTTTGTACCCACTGACAAAGAGCGATCTACTAATCTGTGCTATAAGAACAAGACTAGGTATTAGGCAAAATATAGTTTTTAACTAATGTATTGTGGTAAGCAACTACTCTGCCAATAGTTAAAAAGTTTATTTAGCCTGGTCTTGCTTTTATAGTACTTACAGATTAGCAGGTCACTCTCTGCCAGTAGGTACAAAGCAATGCTTTGCAAAATATGTTGATAGACTGACAATTAAATAGCTAAATCAGTTGTCAGTTATCTCACCTATGGCATACTGATAAGAACTAATAAGTTCCAAACTGGTCTATGTCTGGTGATTCTACTTACGAACGATGTATTTACTAAATATTGTGAGTGTAATACAATACTCGACGGAGCTAGCGATGAGAATGAAGTCCGCAAAGTAGTTGTTTCGCACAATGTCATTAGTTTAAAATTAGCTAGTCTTTAAAACGAGGTTTGCGAAATATTTATAGAAAAAATAGTAGGGGCATTCACTTATTCTTTTCCCACTATTTTATAATAAAGAGAAAATTGCACCACGAAATGCGCAAACTGAAAAAACGTCACTCAAGCAAAAATAAGCAAACCTACGTCCGAATATGTACCGTTTACGAGAAAGCTTTCAATTTAAAAAAAAATCAAAAACAAGCTTCGCAACATATTTCATAAAGTAACACCTACAGTTAATACTTGCCCTGCTTATAATTCTATATTTCAATTACCAGTGCCCCTTTCGTAAAGCGCAACTTCTACGCTTATGGCTTTTTAAAAATTACCTGATATTTTGATAAAATTGCACATTTACGAAAAAGATGTAAATTATTTCAAATCAAACAGTTTATTCATTTATGAAAATATTTCGAAAACGGTTAAAGATTTGGGTATGACAATTTCCAGTAAAAAAGTTCGAATTATTGACATTTTAAAGAATGTTTGACCTTGAATTAGATAAAATAAGGTTTTAGCATTTTTTTACAGCAAGAATGCTATATTGACGCTCCCTACAAGAAAACTATATTTCTTACAGAAAAAGTTAGCCCCTTTTTGATCAAGTTTAGCTGCATACCAAAACAATCAAATTTAAGCCAATCTTTTGGTACCTACTTTTCATACTGGTGTGCATTTTTATTTTCCAATGTATTAAGAAGCTTCAATTATCGTTATCGCTCTTCATTTTCCATTTTGCATATTGTATAGACCCGGAACCACCCGTACCACCTCCAAAAGGACATCACGCAAGAAACTACGAACAAGGTACAGTTTCTTTATAAGATTTTTACAATAATTAGTTAGGAAAGGGTTAGGATTAATGCTTACTTAATAATACATAGTATATTTTGTACTTCCAAGTCAGGTACAACAAAAGCACGATATTATTCACATCATTAAATTCGTTTGTATCCACATCTGGTAGTATTAAGCAATGTAATATTATTTCATATTTGCGTAGTTCAACTCAAACATACCTTACCTATTGCACCTAATTCAAAATTATGAATCAACTCGATTATTTCCGTCTAGATTTCAGTACCTCTTGTACCTTATCGATTTGTATTTACAATAGAATAGTCGATACTTACTGGCACACAACAAAGCGGATACAACTTTGTGCCAGCCTCTGTTTTGAAATGGAAGGTACACCCAATAACGTAAGAACTATTCCCAGTTCTATAAGGGAGATATAAAGTAATATCTCTTGTGCGAAGGTGACTGAAAATTTTGAAGTTACTACTGCCTTAAATGTAAGTTTATCATACTTAGAAACAACTAGAAGAATAAAAAATACCATCACGCTCTTGCTATAAAGTCCTTGTAATAGTAGTGATTCATTCATTCCTTGTGACGTTTGCCTCACTAAATTATTGCAAATCAGAACATTTCCATTGATTTAATGTATTTATTTGCACATATTTCATCTCTTCTTATTTTAATTTATGTTAAAGTTAATGCTTCTATACTACTGTTGTTGATAAGTTCATCATTTTGGCTTTCCGGCTTTTCTAACTGCCTTATTATTGGAAATACAAACTAAAAAATAAATAGCAAATATCTCGTGAAGGTCATTTCCCATTGTTTTTTGATTTGTTGCATTTTAATCGGTTCAAAAATTGTTACAACTTTGGATTTAACTGATTTTGTATCTCCAATAATAACAAAGTTAGGAATGGTGCCAATTGAATTTGACACGTCCTGTATTTAAGCCAATTAGAAACAATGAATGAATGGTGATTAACTTTTAAATAAAGACTTAGAATATAACGGTAAGAACATACTGAAAGTATAGATTTGGTATCTTAGGCAACCAACAATACTGCCAAATTTTATTTACTACAATCTACCACGATGTGTAACTCTAAATACAGATACGGATCATTATTCTCTTCAAAATCAGGCATTATTTTCATATTGTCAATTGCATTAGATAAAACAAAGCACTTAGAATCAGCCCTTTATGAATATCTCTACTTTTAAGTCAACCCCAGATCATGTGGCCTTCAAATATTCCTTAAACCATCTTCGAGTGATGTGCCTACTTGCCGCTGTGCCGTTTGCAAACTCTGGCGAATATTTATCAAATATCTAAATGTATTGATATGCACCATCTACATGATACGACATTTGTTTCACATATCTGAAGCAGCTTTAAAGGCACTCATATTCGATTTTGCAATGAACTCGGTCCTCAATCCTGTAGTTAGAACTATAGTTTTGTATATAGACAACGCCCATGACAGACCATCTCCATGCCATAAACTATTTCGGTATATAAATATATAATTTTTGTTTATTAGACTGAAGGTCAACCTTATATATAATGTTATAAACTAATTTTATATGCAAGCGCATCGCAGTAAGTATTTAAACAATTTACGCTCATGAATTGAATAATCAAGTGTTGGAAGTCAATGTTCTATATGCCTATCTCTAAATAAGTATATAGGTGCATAGCTCTCGAAAGCATCTGAACAGTTAAACAATACCAAAACCATATAAAAACGAACGCAAATAAGGATAAAAATATGCAAACATAATATATCCATAAGCGTACCCACGCATTGTCGTCCAGTAGAAATGATTGCATAGATTTTTATGTAATATTGAATTAATTTAATCATACAGGATCGGAAAGTCCCCATGGTTCATCGGCGGTTACGTGAAAGCGATAAAGTAAGTCATAGAAATCCGTGCGATAGAGAAGGATGGCCATAATGAAGGCGCCTCATAGGCACCGCCCGTTTCGCCCTTCCACAAATAAGATCCACTTCCACTTGTAATTCAGCGACCGGTGGTCATCTTTGTTTTCGTCGTTTGGCTTTTCTTTAATAGATGTCACTACTTATACAATTTCGACTTCTGTATTCCGATATGTTAATATCATCCGTTAACAGAGGACAGCACAACGCGTAACAAAGAAAACTTTTTACAGTAGCTAGTAGATACCTCTGTTTGTAAATCTAGTGACCTTGTTTCCCCTACTGAGAAGTTATTCAAATGGAGTATAGTGCTCAGCTGCATTTAAAGTTCATTTAGTTGTTATTTAAGTATACTTTTTAAAATGACTTAAAAATTCCAAGAAATAAAGCAAAATTCCCTATTGCCCCAATTCCAAAAAAATCTGTAGATCTGGCATCACTCTTTATAGGGCTGCCCTCTGTTAACGGATTGTATTAACATATCGGAATACGAAGTCGGAATTGTATAAGTAGCGACATCTATTACAGAAAAGGCAAACGACGAAAACAAAGATGACCACCGGTCGCTGTAAAGTGGAAGTGGATCTTATTTGTGGAAGGGCGAAACGGGCGGTGACTATGTGACGCCTTCATTATGGCCATCCCTCTCTATCGCATGGATTTCTATGACTTACTTTATCGCTCTCACGTAACGGCCGATGAACCATGGGGACTTTCCGACCCTGTATATTTAGGTACAACGTCGTATCTTAGCAAATGATTTTTCGATTTTTTTTTAAATGTCTATAAAAGTTGTACGTACCTACCTAATTATTTATAAGTGATATTATTTAGTATAATACAGTTGGATTTTTTGCAACAGTAAAAAGAAAACTAGTTCTTGCATATGACTACCAAAAATCGAAAAAGTACGAAGTACGTATTTAATATATTCGACAAGTACGTTGAAAAGGACAATAAAGAAAAATAACAAACGATCCCTTAACATTTTCCCAAGATGTGTCACCCACGGGCACGCCACTGGTAATCGCGAGTTGAAATTTCTTCCCCGTCTCTACCGTTCCATCATTATTAATACGCCATTGTTATTTCTCGCGCCTTTGGAATAATTAATGAATTTTTCAACTTACACCTGGGTAGACTACCTTGAAGAAAGATTCACTTGTGGATTTAGTCATACAACGATCTCGGCGGATATAAGCCTGCCTGCGGCAAGGGCCCGCGCCTTATACGAGAAAATAAATCACTCTCGCTTAAGTAAATACGGAAACGGTCAGTGTATGAAAATAAATCTTGGTCGAGTTTGCGCTTTACAGTGTCAAAGTGACTCATTAGTAAGGCCTCATTAAATGTCTGTACGGGGTGTAACAGCGACGTTGGGACAAACGTTTAGGGCTGGTTCATATTGTCAAAACAGCAAAGAAAACAAAAAAAACGGATTCTACAATTTTGGTGAAGTGTTTAATACAGAGTTTATTGGAGAGTTTCGAGCATACTTCCATAAGAGATAATAATCTCATCATTAGGATTTCAAAACTGAAAAGTGAACAAATTATGACATACATTAAATACTTATGTCAAGTTTAAGTTCAATTTTAAAGAAAAATGTTTCCTATTCAAAAACTAAGTTTTGAAGGTAATAATACTCACTACTTTCATTTTTCTCAAAAACCAAACATTTCATTTTTTTGCTGTAGAATAAACTGAACTGTAAAAAAAATATATTCATTTTGGAAAATTTCCAGTGGTGTAGAAATTATATGAAAATTAGGGGTTATCAGAGTCCCTTAGGGACGCCTATGATTGATCTATTTTCACAGTAATTTGTAAAATCGATAGAGATTTTCATTCGTACACTTCACACTAAATATAAAACAAATGGCTTTAATAAAAAATAAAATCAAAATAAAATATTTTTTTTCAAGATCATATATTTAAAAGGAAACCTTTGGAAGAAAAAGTGTATACTTCAAAATTACACTATTTTGACGAGATCTATAGATGGTTCAAGTCCTAATAATAACAAGTGTATCACCCTGTATACCCATTTAGTTTGCAGTTGCATTACTTTATATAGAGTATATAGCATATAGAGTTGGACACGAATTTTTGGTTCGGCAAGCTAAATTTATCACTATAGATGCTAAATATTATGTACAATAACATATTAGTTTCTAGAGTCATAAAAATGGGGGAAAGATTGTTTACAGGCTGGTTAATTGTATAATTTTTACACACACATTTACATTCACATTTTTCGCTTATAACTTTTTTCCGTTGATTTCCAACAGAGAACAGTAAAATACCTTTTTTTCGTCTTCAAAAGACCTACAAAATTAGCCTTCGAGCGTCAAAAAATATTGATTAGATCAAAAGTTATAATCAGAAGAAGTTTATTTATGACTTGAATTAAATATTTATAAACTGCGTTATTATTACCAGAACGTTTTGGCATCGCATCCTCTCATTCCTTATCACTGTCTAATAATTCACACGAAATCTGGAATCGGTAACTTGAATAGTTGAAGTTATGGCCTTATAAACAAATTAACTAATTATTAGTCTGGACGATCCCGAGTATTTCCATAATCGCACTGATTTTTTTCATGGTAGGTTTCATAATAATACATTTAAATCTATCATTTTTTTTAATTTCAAATTTTCAACCTGGAAATTTTTTTATTTTAGCTTTAGTTGCGAAATGAAATATACGACGCACGAGCGTGAAATAGTTATATATTATATACATATTCGGAAAACTTATGAAAAGAGCTTTAAGTTAAAAAAAAATCGTCAAGATTCGTTGAAAAACAACGGAGTTACAGCCTGTCAAATATAATACCTTTAAGCGAATTTCGCTTATTTAACGGCAGGACTATGAATATTATCGTCATTTTCTTCGGACTAGCTATCGTTCGCTTCCCCCACCCTTCCGCCACGCCACGGCTCGCCGAAAATCAAGCGACCCACTGACTTTTGACAATATTTCTTATGCACCATACTTCCACAAATAAAATATTTTTACCTGGGAAAGTACTCGGGTTGCCGGTTATGCCGGTT